GGGGCTAACTTCATGATGGCCATGCTCTGAACAGGCACTCTGGGGTGACTGGGTGCTTACCATACAGAGATGCCACCCTGGGGCAGTGCACCCGTTTGGTGCCTTTGAATGCTGCCCCAGAAGTGATGCCTAAGGGTGCCAGATTTAGTAAATAAAATACAGGACAACTAGTTCAGTGTGAATATCAGACAACCAACCCACGATTTCTCGCCAGAAGTTCATGTTATGGAATATGGAGCAGCCTCAGCACCTAAAGGCGGAACTGCCTGAGCGTGGGGTTAGTCCTTCCGGAGTTTGTCGAGCACCCGGAATGGTGCACAGAGTGTCCCCAAGGAACCCCGGGACCTTCTCACAATTCAGGAAATAAACATGAATGTCACAACATGGATGGAACTTGAGGGAGTTATGCTCAGTGAAATAAGTCAGACAGAAAGACAAACACTGTGTGTTCTCACTTATATGTGGAATCTTTAAAAACAAAACAAAAACTAGCCCAGCCGATGTGGCTCAGTGGATTGGGCGTCATCCCATGGACTGAGAGGTCCTGGTTTGATTCCTGGTCAGGGCACATGCCCAGGTTGTGGGCTCGATCCCCAGTAGGGGGCGTGTGGAGGCAGCCAATCGATGCATCTTTCTCACATCAATGTTTCTATCTTTCTCTCTAAAAAAAAATCAATAAAAACATATTTTTAAAAAAACTGAACTCATAGAAACAGAGAACAGATGGGTGGTTGCTACAGGTGGGGGTTGGGGGATAGGGAAAATGGGTGAAGGCAGTTTGAAGGTACAGGCTTCCAGTTACATGATTAATAAGTTCTGAGGATCTAATGTATAGCAGGGTGACGACAGTCAATAAAAGTTGCTAGGAGAGTAGATCTTAAAAATTCTCATCGCACACGCGCACACACAAAACTGGTAACTGTGAGGTGATGGATGTTAACGAAACTTACTGTGGTGAGCATTTTGTAACATACACACATATAAAATCATTATGTTGTACACCTTACACTTACACAATGTTATGTGTCAATTAGACCTCAATGAAACTGGGCGGCGGGGCAGGGGGTGAACTGCACTGGAGCAGCGGAAAGAGGTGGTAGGTGCCTTCAAACAGAGTTAGGAGACTGCAGATCGTGGGCTCACTCTCAGAGAGGCGACATTATTCCTCACATTAGGACAAGGATTCACACGGAGAATGTTAAAATGTATTTGTTTCCTTTAAGCAAACACATTTCCGTTACACGATTATCATCGCCTGGGTTGATTTTTGTTCCTATAATAGAATCAGGACATCTAATGTTATAGCAAAAAGCAATTTGTTTCATCTGTTCCTGTTCCTCCCCCTTCTGTCAAAACACGTGGGATGAAAACAAAAGAACACCGAAGCCCACGGCAGTGAGGCGAGTGCCCAGGGGGCCGGGGCTCCTTGGTGGCGGGGCCAGGCGAACGGGAGGGAGAGCCTCAAGGCCTGGACCGCAGCAGACATGGGCGAACTGCCACCTGCCCCCTGCCTGTTTCGGAATGGCCTGCAAGCCAAGAACGACCTTTACATTTTTATTATTTTATTTATTTATTTATTTATTTATTTATTTATTTATTTATTTATTTATTTATTTTTTTAATCCTCATCTGAGGACATTTTTCCATTTTTTGTACAGACAGAGTGGGAGGGAGAGAGAGGAAGAGAGAGAGAGGGAAACATCGATGTGAAAGGGACACATCGAGTGGCTGCCACCCGCACGACCAACCAGGGTCGGGGACAAACTGCAACCGAGGTACATGCCCTTAGCGGGAACCAAACCCGGGCCTCTCCGGACCACAGGCCGACGCTCTAACCGCTGAGCCAAACCGGCCAGGGCTATTATTTTATTTATTAAAAAAATTTTTTTTTTCTTTATTGATTTTAGAGAGAGAGAGAGAGAGAAACATCGATGAGAGAGAACATCGACTGGCTGCCTTCTGCACGCCCCCCACTGGGAATCGGGCCCACAACCTGGGCATGTGCCCTGACCGGGAATCGAAATGGTGACCTCTCGATGCATGGGTCGACGCTCAACCACTGAGCCACCCCGGCCAGGCGACCTTTACGTTTTTAAATGATGGAGGGGGGATTAAAAGATAAATAATATTTCTTGAGAAAATTACATGACATTCGGATTTCTATGTCTATAGACGTTACTGGTGCACAGGCATGTTCATTCACACATTCTCCCTGGCTGCTCTTGTCAGTAGCGCTGAGTGGCTGTAACACAAGACTTGCGTGGTCCCCAAAGCCTAATATAGTCTCTCTCCTGCTCTTTACAGAAAACAAAAAACAAAACCAAAAAACGCCAAATGAAGGGCCTTAATAGCAGCACCAGCCCTCGTGTCAGTGACCATTCTGGTTTGTGGATGCCAAAGTCCCACTGGCTGTTAAATGTTTCAGCCCCCAGCCCGCACACTAAGGAGTGGCAGGATATCCACCAGAGAGGGCCGAGGGAAGGGGCTTCTTCATGGTGGTGCCGACAGCGGCCCTGGACCTATCAGGCCGATCGAAGTGTCGCGCAGTCATAAACACCTCCCTGACCTTAGTGTTCAAAGTCCCCTGGGAGAAAGATGTCCTTGTAAGCTGGTGGTGATTATTAACAGGGTATAAACTTTTACTAAATCACTAGAACCCTTCCAAGTGGAAAACCTGACTTAGAATATCAATATGTAAAACAATAGGAGACAAATGCTACTGAGGGAAAAGGGCTGGGCACTAAGGAGGCTTAGGGCTCAAAGTGTAAAAAAATACAACTCATGTAAAAAATAATCTAAGAAAATGATCCTAATTTTTAAAAATTATAAGTAATATAAAACTATAAAAACATAAATATTTATATAAAGACTTTATAGAAAATTTTATTTACATATTATATATAATGTGTATAATGTATAAATATTATATTTCTGTTTTTTATATATATGCCATTAAAGGCTGATTCAGGAAGTAGACCTTATTAATGCAATGATATGTATCAAAAGCCTAAAAATACCAGGAGAGGAAGGGCATAGGGGAATTTATATGTGTGATGGTGTTATTTGTTTCCAAACTGTAGTGTACTCTTCCAAAACTGAAAAAAAATTCAACATCCAATAACAGAAAATAATCAAGTAAGTTTTAGGATATGATGTAGTGGGATAATATATAGTCACTTAAGATACATCTAGAAAGACTTTGTAACAACGTGGGTAAGCAATGTAAAAGTAATTGGTAAAGAAAAACAAAGAAAGAAGGATATAAAACCTATGTTGACATGTCAAAAAAACATCCCTCACTGAAAATAAATCATTCATAGCCAAAAGCGTACAAAAAATTATCCAATTTTAACAGTGTCCTTCGCTGCGGAGAGGATAGATTCTTTCTTTTCTTTCCACTGAAATACATATTTCAAATTTTCTAAAAGGATTGTGTATGATTTTTATAATTAAAAATAAAGTAAAATTAAGAAATAAATTAATTCACGGTGGAGAAGGAAAATGAGAAATACATAATTTAGTTAATGCCTAAAAAAACAACAACACATAAACACAGAATCTTTTTAAAACACAAAAGAAAAAGAAAGTTCTTCCAAATCCATTTCTGAACTTTCATGCGGCAGGCCTGCTGTTGAACCCAATCTGACCAATAGATGTCACTGTTCCTCTTCTTACTTGTAGCACATCTAAGATGCACAACTTTTACACAGAGGGACAAAACCCAGACTACGAATTTCCATGTCATCTCATGAAGGGTTGTAGATTTTTCATCTTTCAGTTTCGTTCCAAACCTCCTTTTACAATAACTGGATGGCGAATGCTTTTCTAAAAGAACAAACTGTGACTACGGTTTTACGGTTATGAAAAGTATAAGGTTCTGTTCTTGGTTGCTTGATAAAACCATCACCCATATGAACATCACAGACCTAACCTACACTTGTCAAATTCATACTCAGGGCCTGAAAGTCATAAATTGGAAAGCATTTAACGAAATCAGGGGCCCAGCTGGTGTTGCTCAGTGGTTGAGCATCGACCCATGTACCAAGAGGTCGCCATTTCAATTCCGGGTCAGGACACATGCCCAGGTTGTGGGCCTGATCCCCAGTGGGGGAGTGCAGGAGGCAACCAATCGATGTTCTCTCTCACCAATGTTCCGATCTCTCTCTCCCTCCCTCTCCCTTCCTCTCTCTCTAAAATCAATAAAGAAAACCAAATTAAAAAAATTAAAATAATAAAAGAAATCAGGGGCACAAGATTGTCAATAGGCATGAGAGTTAATGGAGGGAAAAGGGCTCCTTGGATTCCTAATGCTCACCCCCATCTCTGACAGGAAACTGGGAGGAGAAGAGGGTGAGCAGGGGTGGTGAGAATGGGGGCAGTCTGGTCAATCGTATCAGGCCATCTTACAGTGTGGAAGTAGCTAAGACCCAGCCCCCTGCTTTGTGTAGGGCAGTCAATGCTTCCGCGTCGAGGAATACAAGAATGAATGAGAAAGAAGAAGGCTGTGTTTTTTAAATGGGTATCTTGTATTCTGCAGATTTCCTGCCAACCTGATCACCTGTTATTTGAGCAGCTGGAGAGAAAGGAAGGTTTAGGAATGTGCAAGGGAGACAGGCTATTTGGGTGTCACTGGAGAATCCAGAACCTATCGATAGTCAGCTAAGACATGTCCTCATGTTTTTAGAAAAATGGTATTAAGAGGTGACTTGCATCAAATAACTATACCCACAATGTGGTTTATTAGGCCGCAAAGCTGATGTGAATAGAGGACTATGAAAAACTCAGATAAGTTGTAAGACAGTCACTTTCTAGCACACAAATTTCAGATCACCAAGATCTATTTTCTGCAATCCGTTGATTTTTAGACAATGACCTCCCCCCATCATACACACAAAATAAAACTTCAGCAGTTTACGAATATGATTGACATTAAATGCATATTAAACGAACTTCTGCTGAATGCAAAGAATCACAACACAAACACAAAGATTTCTACTTACATGGAGATCCAAGTACAATTCACTCCTATCTGTCTTCTCTCTCTCCTCACGGAACAGGAAGGGACAGGCTGGTCCAGCTCTTGGGCCCACGACCCACGCACCTCCATCCCTGATGGGAAGGTCTTTGGAGGCTGACTGCTCATGGAAGCAGTCGCGGGGAAAGCCCTCCGAGGAGATGCCTAGACAAACACAGAGAAGATCTTCAGTGACTCCGTAGCCAGAAGAACATCAAGCCATCATCTTTGGGGACTCTTGTGTGGGCCACGTCATACTACCTCCTACTTCCCTTTGTAAGTTATATTTCTAGAGTTTGCTTTCCTCCAAAAGTGCTTTTCCTGATTACTCTTCTGGACCACCCTAACAAAGAATTAAAACGTGTGCCCTCATACCTGTTTTTTAAAGAATAAGTCTATTAGCTCAACTCTAGGCTCCCTGTTCTTGCTTACCAATCCCGGCTACCCAGATCACTCTCATTCAGGACAGAATCGGGGAATGAGCTGGAGTGCCGAAGTCGGAAGGCTGGGTTGTTGGCTTTACCACCAATGGTGTCGCCTGAGCCATGTCACTAGTGTGTGTGTCTTTGGGGGCGGGAACTACACTGTGTTCATCTTCAACTGTGGGGACGGAATCATTGTAAGTGGCGCATGTTGGTGCTTGGTCAGTGTGTTGAATGAATGAACTACAAGGAACTAGAATGAGGGTACTGGGCTAGTTCTTATCTAAATGTTGATGATAATAGCCAAGTATGTGCCAGGCACTGTTCCTAGCCCTGTTCTTTGATTTTTCAAAAGCACCCCAATAGGTAGGTATCATCAGTGTTCCCATTTTAGAAGAAGAAACTGAATCACTAAGTGGTTATAATTGATCAACTCAATTTTTTTTTTTTTTGCTCAGGATCATAAAGTAAATGGCAAAGCCAGGTATTGAACCCCAGCAGTTAAACACTAGAGGCCATGCTCCCAATAATTAGACTATATATATGGCCTCTGCCTGGCATTCCTGTGATGACAGTTTGTGTTCTGTAACAAAAGGACTTCGTGGTCAAGTAGGTGGGAAAGAAGCAGTATTCTGTGTCCCTTGGAGCAACAATGTGTGTTAGCATATGAAAGACCTTGAGTTGCCCTTTCGTAAAGAAGCTTGGCTCTGTATAATAGTATTCTCCAAACTCATCTGACCGCAGAATTCACTTAACGGGGCACCTGATACACATGTTGCAAATCACTGGAGTTCCAGTGGCGTGTGGTTCGGAAAACACGAGGTTGGATGTAAATTCCCATGTGGCTCTGAGGTTCCTAGTCCTCTTTTAATTCCTGGTAAGCAACCTTGGCAAAATATTACACAACCAGGCAGAAGTCAAGGGTTTAGGCTCAGTGTACTTTTGTAACAGAGATCACTGTTGGATATATGATAGGGCGCTTACTACACATAATCCTTGTCACAGCGTCTCTGTGGCAGTGACCCGAAGCCAGCCAGTGGCTTCCGCCATGCTGAAAACCCGACTGGCCAGTCACTTGAGCTGAGGAGAAGTCAGCTAACAAAGGGATCATGGGACAACATGCTTCTCCTTTGTATTAGAGTAGCATTTTAGAAGAAATCGTATTTAAAAACAGCCAAGGTGTTGCTTTTCATTTGCTTGTTCAGCCAGCTGGTTTCCAAACATGTCAGCGGGAAAGGTGAGGCAGGTCACAGCATCTCTGCAGGTGATGTCCCTAAAACACTTTTCTGTGGCTACCGAGAAAACGAGCGTCCAGGGCCTCAGGTGTCTACTCTGCAGGCACAGTGTCCAGAATGTTTTAATCAAGTTTTCCTTCCCCTGAGCCAGATGTCTTAGAATAAGAGCCTTTTCAGTCACCTGGCCTCACCCTGTCCATATGCCCCTCACTACCTACACTCTCCAGGGCTTTTGCTTTGGGCTTCAGGTTAGTGGGCCCATCGGCTCCCACAGGAGGCGCTAAGTACCTTCACCTAATCTTCACGGGGAGCCCGAGAGGAAGGCTGCTGGCCACACTTTCATGATGGAGAGGTTAAAGCCCAGAGCCCTTTTAACTTCCAGTACATGGCTCATCTCCCTCCTAGAATACTTCTCTTCCCATTTGGTAAGAAGTGAGAAAATAGACCTTTGAAAATTTATGGTATACTCTCACCATGCTACCTTATCTTCAAAAAAAATGTATGAATTCCTAGTCCCATCTCTCAATGTAAGTCCCTCTACTTTTCATTTTTATTTTGGAACAGCTGCCGGCTTTGGGTCAGGTTTACACTGGTCAATAAAACGACATAAAGCATAATATGTACTCAGAGAATAACAATATCCCAGAGAACATAGTAGACATTGCCCAGGGTAAGACATCTATATCATCAAAGGCACGTTGTCTGGTGAGGAGAAGTTCATCATTTAGGTGTAAGTGAGGGGTCAGTTCCCACGACAACTAGGATCTGTGTCCTTAGAGAAAACAGATGCCCATGCAAAGCCACGTACACACCTGGTGGTGCCACCCAGAACGGCATTAACCAGGTGGAGCATGCAATTCAAGTCCCTCCTACTCAGAGGAACGACAATGGGAAGTTTAGGCAGAAGCAAGAAAAAAGGAAGTTCGTTTTGGAAATAGTTTTCATTTTAATGAGCCAATTTCTAATGCCTAGTGTTTGACCAGACAAAATCCCTGTGAAGGAAACACGCACGGTAAGAACCATGACGCATGGTAATTTGGGTGAGGATCAAGGCGACAATGACGGACCAAGGGCCGAAGTAAGTAACATTAAAATGTTGTTCTCAAACGTCCAACAAGGCAGGTCAGGACACAGGACAAATTCACCATTAGAAAGGACATAACAAACGTATTAGTAAATGTTTTAATGAAAGTTTTAATAATATCACACAAGTTTTTTGAATAGCAAAAATGAAGCACATGTCTATATTTATTAAAATAGGTAGTAACCACACTACTCTCTTCAACCGAATAAATTTAATAAAGAGAAGGAAAACTTACCTAAAATGAGGTAAGTGTTATCTGTCAAAACAGTCAAATCTCATTTGATTTTCTGCTATAAACAGAATTTGAGGTGTTTGATTTTCATCGAACATTTTATGAAAAGCTTAAAACAGTCTTATCAACTTAATCATATATCTTCCCATTCCATGTGCATATTATAAATTTGTTTTTTACTCAATATTTATTGCTTATTTTGTTTCTCAGAGACATCCCGACAGCTTGATGGACCACACGTACACACACAGGTTAATTCTATAGCTGACCACTATTAATAACAACATATAGCACAGTCACAGTACAGGAAGGGCGACTTACCTGGGGACCACTTGGAAAGTCTGTGCTTGTCTCAACCATTCAAGTGACGAGCTGCACTTCCTGATGCTAACCTACAACATCAGACTGGGGTTTTGCTGTCAATTATCAACACAGTGGAAGCAGAAAGAAAGGAAAGTTGACATGCCATTTACAACTGAAGGCTGTATCCATAGCTCATCGTTCCAAAATGGAATATCTTTCTACCTAGGGTCCATTGGAATGTTGTTTGCACTTCTTTACTCCCTCCCTGTATTATTATTACACACCCAGGCCTTTCCCAGTGGTCTTGGTAGGTCTTCCCATCGGCCCATGGGTGTTGGACCCGGCCTTGTGACTTGCTTTGGCCAATTGAGTGTGGGCCGCGTGACAGTGTGCCAATTCTGAGCCAAGGCCTTAAGAGGTATTGTGTGTTTTTACACCCTGTTTTGTGTCTGTGCCATTACTATTTGACAAGCACACCCTAGGGAGCCTGGATTGAGACACACACAGCAGACCCAAGCACAGCCCTGTTGCTTGGAGCCAACCTCAGCCGAACCCAGGTCAGATCACATGAACCTTAGCCAGCTCCTACGCCAATGAATGAGAACAATAAATATTCACTGTGAGCCATGGAGATTTGGGGCTTATTGTTGAAATTGCTGCCTAATACAGTGTCCATCATCCGCCTCCACCCAAAGCACCCCACTTGAAACCATTCAGCTAAGAAGGCTTAAAGACTACAGTAATCTGATTTGTGCTCAAAACAATTACTCAGTGTATTAGGTTTTGAAAAAAATAAAGTGAAAACTTGGCAGACCCATTTCCTCGTTCATACCAACATGCACACACAAACTACATTTAAAAAAAAATGAAACGTATTGACCACGCCTTGCCTTTAATTATCTAAAGAATATATGCATACATATATAAATCCACTTTCAAAGAGAAGCTTGCAAATATACTATGTAATTTTGTTCCTACAAAATTACAGTGCCTTTTGGCCTTTCTCTTTTAATTTTTCCACCATCCCAAGCACTCACTTGACAGCAGTGATGAAGTGGTTATGCCTCCAAACAGAAAAGAGGAGGAAAAAAGACAAACTCTCATGAGTTTTTGTTCCTATGCTGTAGTTCCCAAGGCCATCCATCATAGTCGGCTTAAAATCAATCCAAGAGATGAAGTTTCCCCAACCATGAAAATCAGAACTGATATGTACAGGTAGACAGGCTGTCTTCGGTTATGTTATTCAAACATGTACTTATAGGCAAGACAGACAGCAATCTAGATGTGTGGCTAATGGAAAGTGACAGTAAGTACTTGTAGGGAGGGTGTGTGCCTGTGTGTGCAATCATTCATGTCGATATCTACAAAGGCAGCGCTTTGGCAAACATACAGTCTCATGGCGAGTTTCTGTCAATTAGGGATCAACGCTCTCTCGTTCCACTGCCCTCATTTTCATTTCTAGGGATGCGAAATGATACAATCTCAGCTAAGTAGATGTAATTCTGAAAAAGCCTCTTATCTATCCACCCCAGTCTCTAATTCTCCTTGCAAGAAGTATGTGAGGAGAGAAATTATGAGCAAGGGCAGACAGGAGGAAGGTACAGTAGAGAGAGGCAGGGGAAGGCTGTCAGTGGGTCAGGACGGAGGGATGACTGGGGAGTGGGCTATGTCAATTTAAGAATCTATGAGGAGCCCGGCCATTGTGGCTCAGGGGTTGAGCGTCGACCCATGCACCAAGAGGTTGCCGGTTCGATTCCTGGCCATGGCACATGCCCAGGTTGTGGGCCCGATCCCTAGTGGGGGGCATGCAGCAGGTGGCCAGTCAGTGTCCTCTCTCATCGATGTTTCCATCCCTCTCTCCCTCTCCCTTCCTCTTTCTCTAAAATCAA